GATCCATTGTTTTGGAAGACGTGATGACATCTCCATAATGGACAATTATGTAATTACGAGTGAGAGTCTCAGAAACATTCAAGAGATTTAAGCACAAACATCTTACTCAAAGGCAAGGAGGTTAAAAAAACCCAACCAAATTGTATAAATGGCTCTCTCTTATGTGTTTGTGGAAACTAAAGGTGTTTCTCTTTTTGTCTGTTTTCATGTTTATTGTTGGCCTTTACTAAAATACTGATCTGATAATGGATTATCATGGTAATGGTAGTACAAGTGGTTTCTTCTCCCTTAATTCCTCCCTTCCACTTTAAATAACTTGACTTTTAATTTTACTGTGTATTTTGTTGTTGCGTAAGGTAAACATCTTGTTTCATAGAATCACAGAATAGTCAGGGTTGGAAAGGACCTTAAGGTCATCTAGTTCCACCCCCCCCTGCCATGGGCAGGGACACTTCACGCTAAACTGTCTCACCCAAGGCTTCTTCCAACCTGGTCTTGAACACTGCCAGGGACAGAGCACTCACAACCTCCCTGGGCAACCCATTCCAGTGCCTCACCACCCTCACAATAAAGAATTTCATCCAATCTAAACTTCCCCTGTTTAAGTTTTAACCCATTACCCCTTGTCCTGTCACTACAGTCCCTAATGAAGAGTCCAACCCCAGCATCCCTATAGCCCCCCTTTAGATTCTGGAAGGCTGCTGTGAGGTCTCTACGCAGCCTTCTCTTCTCCAGGCTGAACATGATCTGTCAGCTGCACAAATAATGAACAGCAAAGGCTAGCTTAGTCATAGGCTTGGGGGAAAGGAGCAGGTATTGCAGTGGATCATACCTTGTACATGAGTCAGTAGTGCAAATAATATATATGAAGGAGCCCATCATCTGAGACACGTAATCTTTCTCTTGACTGTGTACTGGAACGATGGACTGTTGCAGCTGTTTTGTACACCATGCTTACAGAACGATGAGATCCAACTGCAAGTAGCTCAGGAGAAGATAAGGCTGGAGAAGTTAAAATAATTTTAACAATTTAAAGTGTGCTGCAGAGAGAAAAAGAACAATTTCTTCTCTGTGCTCACACAGGGTAAGGCCAGGAGTACGGCTCAGTTCACCAGGGTAAGACTCGGGCTGCAGAGTCAAAAAGCTTTCCAGCAAGGCAAACAGTTAAGCAGTAGACTGGATTGCCTAGGGACCTTCTGGATGCTCTGTCCTGGCAGATGTTAGTTAGTAAAGATAACAGGCAAATGTGTTGGCAGTGTTTTAGATATCACTGATTCCACCTGAAAGAATTTCCTTCCCAGCCTGTTTGTGATTTCAAGCGCAGCAGGATTGTTTCTGTACAGCTTGCCTTCAGTTTTAAGCATTGCGTTCTTTGCTCTGATGTTTTCAGTTGCATTTTCTTGAGGATTTTTTGTTCTGCTAAATACAGTTTCAGTAAAGGTGAGCTTAAGCACATTAAAGGTGAAGAAGTGTGTTAAGAAAGTGTACACTAAAGAATGCTAATATATATAATGTCAATATTATCTTTTCTAAATGTCTTGTTTACTTTTTTACCATGCTGATTAAATGAGTGTTTTGACTGACACACAACATAAATTCTCACAGAGTAACTACAGGTAATTTATAGCTCATAATTAAAGACCTCCCTCTCTTTTTTTGCCTTTCTCATTTTCTTTGTTGCTGTGGCCCCAAACTGCCCAACAGCTCTCTCTGTTAGAACTTCCTAATGTAATCCACATTATTCTGTGTATTCAACCTCCGTCACTAGAAGTTGTGTTCAGTTGAAATAAAATTTCAACTGAAAAAAATTTTTGCTGTCTTTTGCAACTGTTTAGTAACAGCCTGAAAGAAAACAGCTGCTAATCTTTGAGAGCTCTTCAAATACCCTTCTTCCACGCTCAAAACTGATCAGTGATTCTCTTTTTGTTTCTTTTTTGCCAGCTTCCTGCTTGTGACAGTACTTTGTTCTTCTTGCCTGCAGAGTGACTTGAGTAGCCCTTTGTGAAGGACTTGACCAAATCTTTTGAGAAAGTTCCATTAAACAATGTGTTCTTGTATTCCTTTACTCCATTGGGTTTTTTCTAATCCTTGAAAGAATGCAGCTCCTCAACAGATCTACCTTGTGTTCAATTCATCTTGTCCCCTGAACTATGCAGAAATCGTCAGTGTTCACATGCTCAGAAGGATTCTCCTTCCCTCTGTTCCTGAGAAGTCTTTGGGTTTTTGCAGACTTCCCAGTTTACAGCATTTCGGGTTTACTTTCCTATGCTGAGGTGGTGCTTGCAAATGGGAATACAGGACCAGTACTGCATGGGCATTTTTCAGTGACGTTAAGTTCTCACACAGTTCCACTCTTCTCTTGTCCCTGCATAATCTGGTGCATAGTGCCATTGCAAGTATTTGTGCAGATGCACAGTGCACTATATCTGAAATCGAGAAATATGTGGCTCACCACAGCATATGCCAGCACAGGGCAGTGTCAGCAGGACAAAGGCAGTGTGCAGCGGGCTAATGTGTGAGGAGGGGAGATACCTGCCATCTTTTGACAGTGCTGTTGGCTTACCTGTGTATGATACCTGGCTTAAAGTATATTGCATTATCTGCTTCAGTCTTTTCCTTTTGCATTAGGGTAATGTAGGAGGGTAAGAGTAGGAAATTCTCAACAAAGTCACAGAAAAGTAGATGCAGTAGTGCTGAACAACATGTTTAGCCATGTGGAGACACCATTGTTTCTTACTAAGAAATGTATATTTTTAACGCTTTTATTACAGGCTGTTGTTTTTTGTTTTGGTTTGTTTTTTAAAACTTCTAAGATGCTGAATGTTGGAAGTGAATCAAATGTAGATGAAGATATAATAGAGAAGAACTAGAGATACCAGAAATAATAAGAGAGTATCAAAATCAGGTATTTTCCATTTGTGGAGAGAATGCAGTCAAAAACAGTTTAACCTGAAACGTATCTGTGTGTGTGCCAGGGGAAGAGTGAAACTGGAAAAGCACTACTGTTTTTCCAAGCACCAGAAGCCTTTGGGGTGAGAAGCAGCACAGCAGATAAATCAGTTTGCAGATGCATCACGGCAACGAAACCCAAAGTAACATGGCTTTGGGTTATACAAATTAAGGAGAAGTTCCTTCTTGAAGAACTGTGAGAGTTAACTTGCCAATTGCGCAGGCCCACACATCTTGTTTCTAGACAGATGTAAACCAGCTAAAGAGAGTTGGGGGTCGAATGGCAGACAGAGTACAGACCAAGGGACCAACGAGCAAACATGCCTACCTTGGCTATGTGATAACTAGAAGCGTATCTGAGAGACATGATAAGAGCCTACAAATGTTTGAAAGGCAGGTACATGAAAGATAGAAACTAAGTAATTAAGAAGGTGAGAAGAGCCATAACTATAAAACAAGGGAGTGAGATTATGAAATATATTGAAGTATGGAATATTCTGCCCAAATGAAAGGTTGGAAGAACAAATTATATATGAAAAAATATGTAAGATTGGTAGAAAGATTCAGAAAATAATCTAGCATCAAAGAGTCAGCTTTCTGATGAAAATAGATTGAATAATTTAGTAAGTCTCTTTTACCTGTTTAATTTGTTTGCTTATGGCGTATTAGGGCAATTTGGCAGCTTCTCTAAACTCTTTTAATTTTACCTCCCTAATGCTTCCTACCAATTCAAACCTACATTATTGCATACTAGTCTTAGATGCTGTCTTTCTTTAGATAAATGTTTTAAGAAGGAACAGTTGGGCAAGCAATTTAAAAAGATATAAGAGGAGAAGAAAGGTGAATGAGCCTTGGGAATGACTTTCAAGAACATTTTCTTGCTATATTCTGCCTAAAAGCTGTAGCTGCAAATAAATGGGAGCAAACTAATACCAGGTATAGAGGTCTGGTCTTGTTCCTGTTTGCATCGAGGTGAATGATGTTGAAGGAGCTCCCAAACTGTGAGTTACTATTTGTGTATGTGCAGCCAACCTGCAATTGTTGGCATGGTAAGAACAGGAGCAAAAACCCTTTCAGTGTAGGGGAAGGCAGCAGAGAATTTTTCCTTAATGAAACAAGGTGCATGTAAATTTTAGCCAGAAAGTTAGTTTGATTGCATGTGCGGGGATGGAGAGCTGCTCTAAGCTGCTCTGTTTGACTTGCGTGATAGGGTAAATGGTAAAAGGTGTTCACATTCACCACTACTCTTAGTGGCTTCTTGTCTGGATAGATGTCAGGTGCCTGCTGGGCTGTGGTGTAGCAAAGGAAGACAACAAGGAGTTGCCAAATGGAGTTGTGGCCTGAGTTGCTGGCTTGTGAGCACAAGGACGTGGCTATGCTTGGTATTTGCTGGCTGACTGCTGTTGGCTGGAAGGCAGCCATGGGATTAATTTTGAGGTGATTATTTAAAGAATTTGGAAATGTACCAGTTTTGGGGTTTTCCTTTGTAAAGCAGAAGACCTAAACCTTAGTTTTCAAACAGCACTGAGAGGCATTTATGATGCCGAGTTGCATTTCTATACATTGTGTGCAGTCTGTGTAGGATTTAAGCTGCTGTCTGAGCTCCGGTATTCAGGACTTCTGAGAGTGTGTTTTAACTTCTTCATTATGAACAAAGGTGTTCATGTGAAAGTTAAAGCCAAGTTCTCTGTGCCATGGAGCTTACAAAGTCATGGGAGTTGCAACGCTCTGACTGGTGAACTGTCAGTTCTTAAAACAAACCAGGAGGTTCTTAGCAGATTCTTCTCTTTCCTGCTTTTCTTTTTATATAATTGGGGATCGGTTTGAAAGATTAAGAAATATAGCCTTCCCTTTCAGTTGCTGTGTTTTTAAGGAGGCATAATAGTGTGTGCACAATCTTGTTGAATAATTCGTGTTTAGAACAAAGTGGTTGTTTGCTCAGCCCCTGTACAATGATCTTCATACGTGTATATACACTTTGATATTCCTTTCCTGTGTATTTCTGATCCAGACCCACGTTACTCTTCGGTTGTATTTTTCTTTTCCCCCAGGTGGAGGGTGTGCTTGTGAGCCAGGCATTGTTGGCTTTCGCTCTGTGTGCTGGCTTTGGAGCAGAGGTGCTGCTGAAAAGGTGAGTACGTAACTTCCATCCTCTGATGCAGATTTATGTTCAGAGGAACTCATAAATTCAGACTAGCCACACCTGTCACCTTAAACTGTATCTAGGTTTGCAGTGGAGAAAATCTAATCTACTAGCTCATAAAATCGTGAGCGTTAGCTGTCAAAGCGGTGTTAAATTCTGGTTTAGTGTAAATAGTGCATTCTGCAGCACTGCAGAGCAGAGAAGTTAAAAGGTGGGCATGTTTCGTTTCTTGGACAGGTCTGAATTTAGAGCTAGAGAAATCTCTGACACACTGAAAATAAACAGTAATAAAAATATGATTTCTACCCTATGACCAGCATGGGAAGAAGTGGCTGAGAGGAGTGCTTGACTGCACATTACTCACATGATTGTGTGAATTCTTCATCAAATCTAGTGTCTATCACAGCAGCTATCTTCTGAAAGTAGCTGAGGTACCTAAGCATTAACTGAAAGAAAAAGAAAACAAGCTTTTATCAAATTGAGAAGGCTGTTTATGAGATAGGAGATAAGTTTAATGACACTGCTCTGCTGCGAGTACTTGACCAGGAATTTCTCAAAACCTTTCCTTTCAGTCAGTGAGCGGCCGTGTGGGGGGGTGTGTGTCATTTTATAAGTGTTTCCAATTGGCCGTGAATGGAGTAAAGCAACAGAGGATTAGCACCAAAGGGAACTTTTAAAAACTTTACAAGAGTTTAAAGGGTGCTTTATGGTTGAGAAATAATGTTTGTGCTCTATCTGCACACAAACAAAACTTGTTTATAGGAGAGTATTAGTACTGTAAGGAAGGGTAGATGAAAGTAAGTGTGATGAAGTCTACATTGGTCCGTTTTCCATGAGACTGCATTAACCATCACAAACTGGGATATCATCCATAACGTTTGAAGATTGTTCTTCAGGAACAGCCATAAAACTTTTAAGCTGTCTGAAGCTATGTGTGTATTGGTTTTCTGCAGACTATTTTCTTTACACATATTCTGTATTCTGTAAAAATACTGATTCTGTAAAAATACTGATGTTGTCTACCCCGTGTGTAAAACTGCTCTGCATAGAGTCAAGAGCTTAGTATCTTAGGAACCATAGAGAGTCATGGGTAAAACATTCCAGAAACTTCCAACTAGTAGCCTAAAAAGGTTTTTTATACAAGAAGATATGTAAAGTAAATATCTTGGCTTTATGAAGAAAAATATCTTGGAATGTTTGAGATTAAAAGCAAGTATTAAATATTCCATTAGAAAGCTGGACTTTTATTCTTGATGAAACTTGACACACTGAGATTTAAATTTTGTCAGTTACTACTATTGTTTGCTTCATTTTTCCTGTATTGAGAGAAATGTGATTGTTGTATTTAATAATTTTTTTTCTTAACTATGAAAGAATAATGATTGAAGTATTGCCTTGCCTTGACAGAAGCTGTTAAACGCTTCTTAGGAAAGATACAGACATTTGTTAAAAGCAAAGAGGTTGGAAAAGCTCCCGTTCTATAATTGCAATTTGGATTTGATTTGATTTAATTATTTTTTCCTTTTTTTTTTTATCCACTTGTTTTAAAAATCAGAGTGTTTTCACAACACACTTTGCTATTGGTCTGATGTGGAGCCTTTTCATCTTGTCTCAGAAGATTTGTCTATTGATGTTGGAAGTCTGTATTGATGTGTATCAGAATCGTGTTTCCAACCTTATAGGAACGTTTCACGGAGTTTAATGTCCAAAAGGTTTTACACTTTTTTTATTTCTTGTTTTTTATTTGTTTTGGGGTTTGGTTGGTTTTGGGGTTATTTTTGGGCTTTGGTCATTTCAGAGAAGTCTACTAGATTTCAGGCTATATCTTTGAAATCATGAGAAGCAATGCAAGCTTTTTTTCCTGGTTTTGTGTATAGATATATATGCCTGGTAGAGCAAGATCTTGTTCCATTACTCTTTTGCTCTATGATATCTGTGAGTCAGGAAAAGCTTTCTGACTAAGGACACTTACAGTCTCCTAATAGAAGGACACTAAAATAAGTAGTCTGCTGCATTCAGCTCAGAAACTAGTCTATGTGTCAGAAGTGTGTCCCTGGCTGGCATTTGGAACAACAGTATGAATTGGAGTTTTCAGTTAGGTTTGGCATATTTCTTGTGTCAGGAGGTGGTGAAGAGCGGTTGTGAGGAATACAATACACAGAAGGATTTGCAGGCAAGCAAGGAGGAAGCTTAATAGCAGGAGATGGCAGATAGATGTAAGGATCTGGCCTGGAAGAAGTTACTATTATGAGGTGGTAATTGTATTAAGTAATAATAAAGAATAATTCTCTGTACCTGGGGGGTTGTAGAGAATAATCATTTCTAATAAAGTTTAGCTCAGCAATTACCGTGGTACTCTTGAGGCTAAGCGTCTTTGGGCTTTTACTGTTAGCAGCTAAATCATGTGAGACTCAGTGGTACAACTGAGTTGGGAATAGCATTTTGTTCGCTTTTCTCTAAAACTTGCTGTTGTAGACCAGGCCTTAAACACAAGCAAAACTTACATGTTGAAAAGTGTTAGGGCAGTTACTGAGGATACTTGTGTTTTTGCAGTTGTCCTCTAGAAGGCATGGATTCATTCCTTAAAGAGAAACAAGCAAAAAAGAAAACAAAACCCCAACCCCAAATTCTTCAAACTGCCTTATTTCCAAATTTGATACTTTTATAAAAGATGGAGTTTTAGGGATCTGAATTTTTGCTTCTTTTCTCTTGTCATTTATCTCACCTTTCTAAATAAGTTACTGTGTGCGTTCTGTCATATCCATGTATTTGGCTGAGCTGTAGCCTTGCAGTAACTTCATGCAGTTAACAAAAGCAGTATATAATGTACAAGTCAGATTTGTTAATCAGGCAGCTTGGTCTGATTCCAAATATTTCTTCATTTGCAAGATTGTTTGATTTAGCAGTGTAATTTTAAGTACAAAAAGAAGCTGATTGCTCATCTGTGATAGATCAGTTTGTGTTCCGATTCATGATGGAGGAAGGCTTGAACATCCTCTTTGATGTGGAATGTGTTAGAGGGATCTTTCAAGTCCGTACAGGAACATACCGAATGCTACCCTTCATGTTCCATACCCAGAGAACTGGCGGTGTGGAGATGACTGTAAGTACGTAAGTTTACTGCAGGAAAACCTTCTAAGCCCCTTTTACAGATCCTAACCCGAACCAGAAATTCTGGTGCAGGGCAAATTTTTGGACCTCTGTGTTAGAAACACTGGATTTGAATGTGAAGTCCTCTTCTGCTGAGGAGCTCTGCACAGTTAGGGGTGTATTATCAGCAACTGCCTGACGCAGGCCCTGCTGAGGGATTTTTGTCAAGCAGACTGACATCTCCCTCTCCAGTAAGCAGTAGTATCCTTGTGATTCCTTTCAGATGCGCTGGCTTTTGTGGACTAGAGGATACGGGGGTGGATATTGCGCTGAATTGAATTTGGTGTCTCTCCCAGGCTGGCAGGATTGTTCCCAGCTGTCAGTGACTCACAGTAGCCGAGTTGCTGTCTCGGAGTTCAAGTTAATGGAATTTACAGTTCAGCTTCTCTTAAATTGTCTGGCAGAGAGATGAAGTTTCCCATGAGCTAGGAAGAGCAGGAGAGATTCCACAAAGTAGAAGCTTTGGATGTGTGTTGGGTCTGAAAAATTGCTGAGAAGTCCTTCCTGGGAATAGATCCTTGCCAGCAATCATGCTCTCAGGTGTTTCATTTTGTTCTAACTTCTTACGCTGTGCTTACTGCTGAGCATCTCCAGTTTCCAGAACTGCTTTAAAAATGTGATGAATGCATGTCATGTGATTGTCATCATATTCTTTCCCTACGTGGACAGCCAACATCATTTGGGTTTAGAAGTTCTGTTTTCAGCTCTTTTTAGCTACTTTGTTTATGACAAAGGAAAAGGGCACATATGTCAACAATGCAATTCATTCATAGAACTAACGTATTTACAGAGCAGTAAATTACACTTTATTCTTTTTTGCTACTTGTTAATTTTTGCCAAACAGGTATTTTTTGCTCTTTCTGTTAGTATGAAATGGTATTTAAAATAGCTGGGTATACTATGTAGAATGGGGGTGATGTTGGTTTACATGTTGATTTTAACTGCAGTTCTGCTAGTGTGTGACTCCTTTGGAGAGCCTCCTGGGCTCCAATACAGCTGTGTCTGGATGTAGGCAGTACTAAGTACCAGCTCCTGAACAGCACAGAATGAGTAGGATGCTTGGGATTCATTTATTTTCTTTGGAGACAACCGTTATGTGACTGAGAATCACTGTCATTTTCCAAAACAAATACATTTTCTGAAGTTTATTTGCCTTGTTGATTCTCTGATTTAGAGAATCAGAATATCTGGAGCAAGTTCAGTTTGCTGCAGGTATTGGTAATACAGACTAGCTTATATTTGTGGCTCAATTATACTGCATGCAGTGCCTTGTTCCTTCCTTTCTGTGGTTTGTACCTGTGAACCTTGGGTATGTGTATGAAATGTATTTTTTAGTTCAGAGTCCTGTTTAAAAATATATGAAAGGCAAAGAAAATAGCAGGCCTTCACTACTCAGTGTTGTGGCTTTTCCATCGCCATTAATCTATTAAAATGAAATGCCAAGAACCCAGAGTAAGATGATGATACTTATCTCACTAGTCAGGTAAGCAAAGAAGGAAGAGGTAATGGACACAATTTTATTTTCTGGATATACTAGCCAAGAACAGCCTGAGAAGATTAAATGCTTATGTGTTTTGGACACCGAGTACGTTTTTCCATTAAACAGGATTACGTTGTTCTTTTCAGTTCTATATTTGATTCCTTTGTATGCCCTTCTATAAGCAAGACCCATAAAAATTTTCTGTCTTCTTCAGTGGAATCAGAGATAACAAAACTTTTTTCCACACTAGTACTGGTTTGCCACGTTGATAAATGGTCATGAAGCTTTTCTCTTCTCTGATATCAACTATTTATCTTATGAAGATCCAGATATGCTTGGTTTCTTCAGCCTTTAATGC